GAGATGGAGACCAGTACGGAGGATGATACATCCCGTAATATTAAGATACTTTGTTGGATTTTAATTTTGTGTTTGTAAATTCTGTACATTCAATTAAGTTATTTTAATTGTTTAATGTAAGTGGCTATTGTTTGGGATGAAAAATACTAAGGAAGGGGCAGTGTTACGACAGCGGAAGTCACGTGACGCTAATAACACGTCATGAACTTGTAGAACGTTCATGGCCCTTTCTGAAGCCTCGAGAGGTTACTAGATATGCTGTATTCTTGTATATATAAGACCGGTAAGAAGTGACGGCAACAAAGTAATGTAATTGAACTGTGGACAGAGAGAGATGTATTGCTGGGCCGAGCGTGTGTGACGTACGTTGTGAATTATAGCGTTTGTTTAACTTATAGTGTGACCGTTGAAATTAAGTGAATTTCAAAGTTGTATTGAGAAAGAATAAACTAGTTTTGTTTAAGAAAGGACTTGTGTCGCTAAAGTTTCATTGGAAAGAAATTATATGGGATGTTAACTAACAACCAGAGACGTAACAACTACTATTACCATTTACCTCCCCTTATGTGCAAACTTTCAGTGAAAAACTCAGATGCATAGCCAAGATGTTCAACATAGATGTTCAGTGGAATTCTTACAAGACAATAAGATCCATTCTAGTGAAAACCAAATAGAAACTTACTAATGAAAAACACAAAAACATAATGTAGGAAATTTCATGTTCCTGCAACGAAACATACATTGAAGAAATGGGAAGAAGACAAGAATAAATGAACATAAAAACAGTACAAGACTCATGAAAATATAAGATTCAGCCATTGCAGAACACACTATGTCAACTTAACTGAAAATATACTGGGATAAAACTAGAATGATCGACACATACAAATTTTGGAAAATAAAAAAATTAAATAATCTTTCTACATTAACACAATAAAGCCTTCACTAAATAGAGATTCAGGATTAGAGGTGAGCAAGCTATGGCTACCATTGGTTGAAACATCATACAGTCTTTCCACCAAAAAGAACCAGGGATAAACAAACGAATCACAACACGTCCTCCACAATCTACCACGCTACTATAAAGACCTGCAACATCTTACACACACTGACCTGAAGATGAAAGGCTTTCGGAATATCGTCCTCTACACTTGTGTTTTGTAAACAGGCAGTTGCCATCCATTCCAGTGTACTCATCATGTATACTCTGCCTAAACAATCTTTCAAAGAAGTAATTATCTTACTGATTCTAGACATAATGGCAGTACAAGATCATAATCGCCTAAATTACCCACTTCTTAATGAATCACATGACAACATGGATGCCTATCTATATATATTTGCAATTTTTTCTCAAGTGAAGGGATGGGATGTTGGTGATGGGGCATTAAATCTGACTGCATTATTAACTAGCCAGGCCTTAAATGTATACACATGAATGCCTACTCATACTGCCAATGATTGAAATAATCCAAAGAAAGCACTCATACTCAAGTACAATTTGACATGTGAGGGTTTCCATCAATGATTCCATAAGGACATATCATGGAGATGAAATGCCTATACGGTATGCCACATGTGTTACCAGATATGAAGAAAGGTGGGTTAAATTGGCAAATGATCCAAGGTCATTTGATGGGTGAATCCATTTAATTGTAAGAGAACAATTTATTAACATATATGATAGAAGTTTGGCTGAATATTTGGAGGCAATAGGTCGACCATTTGGCAATGGACAAAAGTCAATGGCCAACATAAAGTGCCACAAATGTAGAAAGGTCAGACATTTACAGAGAGATTGCAAGTCAGACAGTAAACTAGATGGTAACTGCCAGAAATGTGGTAGGACCAAACACTCGGAATGTGATTGTAGGATGAAACTAAAAACAGAGCTTACATATCATAAATGTGGGGTCAAGAGATACATTGCACCAGATTGGAAATCTCAAGATAGAAAATGCTTTATATGTGACAGAACATTTCACATGGCTTATGATTGTGGTGAAATGAAAGTGTTGAATGCTTTGTTAACAGCTGATTCTTCAGAGAGGTATCTGATGGTGAGTGGCTTCGACATTTTTAAAGACCAAGTGTATGGAAGAGCATTTGGGTAAACTTGTGCTAGAACCAATCAAGGATAATAATATACCACATGTGACTGGGGCATGTCATAAAATGCATAGAGGTAGGAAGCTACCTGTAATGAAGGAGTATGTGGATATACATCTTGTGAATATATTATGTGACACAGGTTGTACAGGCATTATTATGTACAAGGACTTTGTTAATTTAGATCAACTTATGGATCAGATGCAAACCTGTATGTTGATTGATGGTTGAGTTGTACAAGTTCTGTTGGCCTGAGTATATATCGATACACCTTACTATACTGGTGATATAGATTCAACGTGCATGATAAACACTGTCTATGATTTGATTGCAGGAAACACACAGGAAGCCCACAAACTAAATGACCTGGGTCCAAATTGCAGGAGAAACCAATGGCAGCTGCTGTGAAGAGGAGCCAATCAAAGATGGAGAAAACTACTCAATTACTGAAGATGATGGAAACACAATCAGAAAAAACCATCTACATTAATGAGTTAATTGGGCTACAAGTGACATACTCCATGCTTTACAAGATACATGATAAGACATGAAAGAAGTTAAGTAGGAGCTTACATCTGTTTGTTCGACAAGGAGAAAGGTATTTTCTCTTAAAGGACGCAAAGAGGTAGCAGTAAGCATTCAGTCGTGAAGTAAATTGTGGTTCCTCAAGCTTTAAGAAAGTAGGTCTTAACTGTTGCAGATGATTCAATGATGGCAGGGCATATGGGCATTCAAAAAATATTAAACTGTGTGCAGACATGCTTTTATTAGCCAGGACTTAATGGGGAAGAACGCCATTATTGCCATTCGTGTTACATCTGTCAATGCACCACGTCAAAGGGACAGATTCCTACAGTTCATTTAGTAAGTATTACACTGATAGAGCAACCTTTTAACACTCTCAATATGGACTCGGTCAATTTCACCGACCACGTGACCTTTTTTGTACTCATTTAAAGTTTTTATAGATTTAATACTTATAACTTTCAATATAGTGAGTATATCTTCACGAAATTTGGCAGTCTTTCAGTTAATATTACAAGTCTTTCGAATACAAAAAGTCATATTTCTTAGTGAAGTAAAATATAGATATATCCATGAATACATTGAGTATTTGTTTTAAATAGTCAATGTGCAAAGTGTTTTTCACGTTAAAATTAAAAATACTTTTTCTCATCTCAAAAATCTCAAATTTCCTTTGTTTAATCCCTAAAACCTCCTAGATGCATTTCAAACGTTTTTTTTTTTTTAGTAAAACTTTGTAGTTTAACTGTTATTTTCTCTGCCCTATCTCAAAACTGGATCCGTCAATTCGACTGACGTCATAAGTACGAAAATAAAGTCGAAATATACCTAAATTAACATTTTTTTCTTTCTACAATTACTTCAAATTGTAAAATGAAGCTACATTCGTTTATCCTAAGTAGCTCTACGTTCGTAACACTATACATCTATTTATAATTAAATTTTATTGTTTTATTGCCCTGTGAACCTGTCTAACTACTTTCCACGCCATAAAAAGCTGTAAATCACTCCGAGAACGTGTGAACGTGCAGGTCACATTATGCTATCGAATTGTATTACCCACGAGCTGCTCACGTGCATGTCTTGTGAACCATTATAATTATATTAT